ATATAGCTATAACTGCTTTTTCGAACCTTGGGGAAGCCAGCAGAATGACTCTGACATCTGAACGCATATCTGCCCTTTGGCTCCAAAATTACTTGCAAGAAGCTGTTAACAGGAACAGAGTCATTCTTAATCATTCGTCACAGGGATATGGATGAATATTACAGTGAATGTTCCAGCTTTGGGTATTCTTAAGAGTTTTCTTACCAGTGTTAATAATATGCCCCAAGTATCTGTCAAGAAGGAGTAATTCATGTGTGACCATTAGATCAGGCTGTTCCTGTGTCCTCCTTAACATGCTTTATGTTATTTCATTTCAAAAACTATGCAAGAGTGGCCTGGGCACTCTTTGGATGGTAGATCATCAGGAAAAAGAGGCATCTTGGTGTCAAGTGATAAACTGAAGAGTCACCTCAGTCTTGCTATCAGTCCTTACCTGCTCTACCCTCACCATAAATGAACAGGTCTAACTCTGTGATCTGAAACGTCAGTTACCAGCAGGTCAAGAAYGTTACCACTACAGTGATGTATGGCAATATTTTTCTCTATCTGTTTGTGGCCCCTAAAAATATTCAGGTGGAGCCACTTCGGAAAAGTCACCTGCATAGATTCCTGTGTAGTATCTACACACCGAGCTCCTGTTTGTGAATCCCTCTAAAAACGGCTGACCGAGCTCAAGGGTCAACACATCACAGGTTGAAAACCTTGACTTAAAAACAGTGGGGCCCCCTGGAAGTCACTTATTAAGCTGCCCTAGTCTTTGTATTTTGACTGAAGCAAAAGACAGTAACTATTATTTTTAAATAAGTTTTTAAAACATGGCATATGAGATAGAAAACACAGCTAGTTCTAAGAATATTTTAAAAATCTATTTTTTAATTTATTAGCACAGCTATCAAGAGAGTGTGAGAACACAGTTTGGTTTGGGAGTCAAAAGTTCTGGAGTGSCATCTGAAACTATTCGGACCCTGCCACAAAACAATAATATAACTGCAAGGGCTGTGAGACAATTCCATGCTTGATAGCCTCCCATTTTGTGGAAAGTCTCATAAAACAGAATTGTAAAGTTTATAAAATAAAAAGTCACTTTACTTTCTGATTTTTTTCCTGTAAGAAGTATCTCCAAATAATAAGTGTAAGAAAAACAAAATAATTTTAAACGTGATTTTGATCTTATCTTGATCTTATATTTTTTGAAGTTGTTTTGAAATGTAAACTAAAACATTCCAGGTTATACTCAACTTGCTTAAAATATTTATTTATACCGTAATAATTAAAATTATTGATAATAATTAATAACAACTCTCAGACCAAAAAAGCTGCCTTTCTTTACTGCTGTCACAATGTAACTCTCAGTAAGTCATCTTTCGGTTAAACGGGTCTGCTCATAGGTATCTGCTATTCCCTCACACCTACAGAATTGCAAGGGGGTAAACGAGGGCAAAACTTGACTTTCTATTTTTAATATCCCATTTAACTATGAAGCATCTACATTTAAATATATTTTGGAAAAAAACACTCCAGTGAAAGATTCTTGGTAGGTATTTTTGTGTTTATGGAGTATGTGCCCATACATCAACACTGCCTTGATGATATTGTTAAAACCACTGAAAACGAGGAAGCACAAAACAAAATACCCACCCACGAAATCTCATCATCAACATATTTTTTTCTGGGCCAGATGGTTCACTGAAGCAAAGTGTTAGTCTTTTGTTCAGACTTGGGATTTTAAATTGGAGTCTTGCAGACCACAGAACAGTTTCCAGCAAATTACAGAGGATTTTAATTAGTACCAAAACAAAAAATGTTCCCCATTTGTTTTGTGCAGGCATGCACAGCAGTGAGATTGCCTWCAGGGGAAAGCCTCATTCTCTCCTACAACTAATAAAAGCACTTAGTGGTTACTGTAAAGCTGTTAGGCATTGTAAAATATGGCTTAATTAACAAAGATTCTGAAAAACACAGAAAACTGGGTAGAAAGCAACTCTGAGAGGTCATTTGCTCCACAGCCTTGTCTCAAAACAGSATCAAGTGTAGCTAAGCCCTTGGTGACAGATGCTTGCCTCATTTGCACTTAAAAAGCTTCTAGTTTTTAAGTGGARGTAAAAAACTTCCAGTTTTTAAGTGGAGGTAAAACAAGAAGATTCAGAAATGAGCAACCTTGCAGAGCCTGACAAAGGAGAGCCGAAGGCAATGGAGATGGGAAACTGCTAAGCAGGAAAGGCAATTTAGAAACCAGTATGGTTACTTTGAAGACACACTGAAATACAGTAAGCCGGGCCTGGGCAGAAAGGGTGAGAAATAATTAACCTTAATTAGGGTGTTTCTGGCAGAAATGATGCCAAGGAATCAACCTTAACTGAAAACCTGAAAGGAGAAAAAGGCTTAGAAAAGGTTAACTTTCRTAAATCTCAGCCAGTCATTGCAGATCTATTTTCTTTGCTGCAGACACCCTTGTAAATACATCTGTCCACTTCTTGCACAAGCTAGATCAAGGGAGGCAAGGTACAGAAACACTTTATTCAGCATAAATAGTGCTGGTATAATTTGTGAGAGCTTTGAAAAACAGAAGGAATCACCAAATTGATCCTCGGTGTTCTAACTGTCCCTCAGGTCATTTGATCACTCAATGTTTCTATCCAAATGACTACACATCTTCACTAGGCAATTGGTCCCAACATTTAACAGTCCCTTTAGAGTTGAAGTATTTCCTAATGCACAACTTAATTCTCCCTTCATATTGCTTAAGCCCCTGCAGGCAGGAAGAAGATTTTATTCCATTCTTCTTCACAGTATAGTCCCTCTGATCGCTTCTCCACCCAATCTTCTTAATTCCTGACTACGCAACCCCTACACCATGTTTGCTGGATCCCTCGTCATTCTTGTTTCCTCGCTTTCTTCCGATTTCTCCACTTCTCTCTTGTGGCGTGGTTCCCTAACCTGAGGGGACACGGCGCATTCACCAGGATGGAGTTGCACGCAAGATCTGCGAGCGCCTCCGACTCACAGCAGCGCTGCCACTGCGAGAAGCGACCGGGCAAACCCGCCTAACCTGAACCGCGGTGGACAAGTGGCAGCTCTGGAGCCAGCAYGGGGACACGAGGCAGTGGTTTGGGAAGGGCGATTAGCACAGCTATCCTCCTATCTCCACCTCTCGTGTTCACTCCCTTCGGTATCTGCCACGTACTTTGCTCTCCTCAGGATTAATCTCAGTGAAGACTGAACACAAGAAGTCATCAAGTTTTTGGCCTCTTCACCTTCACCTACTGTTAGTTTTCCCTCTGTGAAACAGTGGGATGTTGCTCTCTTGGTTTTCSTCTTGCAGCCAGTGTTCTTTTATTGAATTTCACCTTATCACATCCATTTCTAATGAGATCTTATTTTCTGCCAGGTTTGGCTCATGCCAAATAGACCTTATTCTTCCTAGTAGTTGATCTAGTTCCCACTTCCTTCTTAAGTTTCAGTTCACAATATAACCAAACRGATCACCTTTTTTGTTACCTTTCCCCCTTCACACTGTATATATCCAATTAATACTTCTTCCAGAAAACGGCAGTTCTCTCGGTCTGAAACTTATCCCACACGRTCATCTCCCATAGTCCCCTGAGAGCCCTGAAATCCACTTTCTTGAAACTCGTTGCCTCTGCTTTGCTCTTCTYGCTAAGACTCACAATCTCTTGGCGTTTTGTGGGCTTAGTTGTAGTGCCAGGCTCACATTCTCAGTGGAATCCTTTCCACTAGTCAGAAACAAGGCCAAATATTGGTTGTTATTAAGAAGGTTATTTTGTCTACTTACTGTGTAATAAAGTTATATCCAGCTAACTAGGGTTTAAAACACAGTCTTGTTTCTTTGTTTAAAAAAAAAAAAAACTCAGCTCAATTAGAAATATTAAGAAACCCAGTCCTCTTGCAACACTTGTAGCCTGACACAGATCCCTGTAGAAATCCTCTTGATAATTTGCCACAAACCACAAAATCACCTGGGCAAGCTTTTGTTCAAGCATGGCAAACCAAATCATCATACCAAAACCCACCTTTACAGCGCTGGTACAGATGGCAACCTCAGGCTTTGCAGCCTAAGGATATGGATACTTGTGCTGAAGTCATATCACTGGATTAAGGTAAACTGAATATACAAGAATACAGAAGAATAGGGGGATAACACCGAGGAAGGGTCCCCCACACCTGCAAGCCCTAAACAGCCTGACCAGGAGGAGATAAAACCTGCGCTCAGGGCCTCAGGGGGAGGCTGAGCCTGGCTCTGAGGAATGGCCAAGAGCATGATTCCCCTGAGAGCCAGCTGATACAGGCCCCTAGGAAGGTCAGTCTGACTGCTAGAGAGATGATGCCCTAAGCAGGCTGGAGGAGCAAAGCAGCCCAGGTAATCAGGCAACTTCTTAGTCCTGCTATTAGAGCAGTGTGAGGGCTGCCCCTGGGTCAGGCCTTCTGCTGACCAGCAGTGACTACAGGTCTCTGGGTCGGYCCACAGGCTCCCGGTCAGGGTACCACATAAGAGCTGTACTTTGTCGCTTCCTGGCTTTTCCTTAAGGGACAGTGTTTCTGTAACTCTGAAAAACAGTGGCTTCTTTCAGAGCTGACCAGTTCTGCGTTTGTGCTCCACGCGAGAAGGAAAAGCTGCGTTTCTGCCTGTTGTGCAAGCGGAGTCCCCCCCGCCAGGAGAAGCGCACTAAACGCCTCCGCCAGAGCCACCCTATGCGCTAATCCAAGGCGTAAGCTTATCCACGGCTCTAAAATCAGAAGCCGAAACGTGTAATCTGCTGACTTGCTCTAATGCCCGGAGGCTGCGGCGCAGCGCGCTCCCGCCTCCAGCCGCAGGAGGAGAAGCCCCTTCCCAGCGGGAGCAGCCTCTTCCCGCGGGCAGCCCGGGGCGGGACCGCGCCGGGGCGGAGCCGCCGCGCGCCCACAAAGGCGGCGGGAGCGGCACCGCCCGCGCCTAGGCTCGGCTTAGCGCGGTTGGGCTCGGCTCGGCTCGGCGGGGCTGGCATGGAGGCGGCGCGGGGCTGCGTGGGCTCGCTGGCGCGGTGAGTGCGCGCGGCGGGGCCGGCCCCGCGGCTCCGCTGTGGGTCGCGGCTCCGCTGTGGGTCACGGCCCCGCGGCTCCGCTGTGGGTCGCGGCCCCGCGGCTCCGCTGTGGGTCGCGGCGCGGGGCTGGCGGCTCGGAGCGCCGTGCAGGGGCCGGGGAGGGCTCCTCCGCGCGCGTCCCGGCACGGCTGCTCCTCGGTAGCCCTTAGCGCTGCTGCAAACACGCCCCGAACGCAGGGCGCCCCCGGGCTCCCCAACCACCTYCAGGCTTTGTTTTTATTTTTTTCGACTTAGCCAGTTCTGCCGTTGCTACCAGTGTGAACTCTGCCCTAAAAGTCAAACGGTGCCGTGCTCCAAAGCCACTCGCGTTGTGCAACCCTGCCAGTGAGCGCGGCCGAAGGCTGTTGCACCACGTTCTTAAACACTCATGGGCCATTGCAAGCAGAGATAGAGTGAAATGTGTGCACAGGGCTCAAGGCAGGCTGGTATTCTTATTAATTTTATTTTTCCTCATTAATGAAGCTGAATTCATCTGTCATCAATCCCCCCTTCCTCCAGCCTCGAGGTTACACTGAATGCCAGGGATGGTACCTGCAAGCCCCCTTTTAACCAGCTGTAACCCAGCAAGCTGAATAAGACTACAGACATTGAAGATATTTCTGTTTTTTTTTTCTTTTCTTTTTTTTCTTTTTTTTTTTTCCCCACTGGCGTTTCAACTTTAAAGAATAATAAAACAGCGGTGGAGTTGTCCATGTTAATAAGTCACTCAACTTTCTAATAAAGTTGGCAGGCACTTTGCAATGCTCCCTGCACCTGTACCCTTCGCTCCCTGRCTTGGCTTGATCGGCTTTTGGTAGGAAACTATTTTCAGTAAGTGCAGTCTAGGAGAGATACTCCTTGTGACAGGGTTGTTTTTGTGTGGTTTTGGAGGCCTGGAGAGCCTTGTGGGAGCCCCAAGCCTAGGCTGGGCTGTCCTAAGTCTGTGGSCATTGTGGGTTGGAGGGAACAACAGGTTTTAGGCAACAGGCTCAGCAATGAAGAGCTTCAGTTCTGTTAGCCAAGAGTGGAAGAGCATCGTGGCTTCTGGTGCCAGGCACTGGCTGAAACCTCACCCCTCACGGGAGCCCAGGCTCATAAGGCAGGCTTAGTTTAGGTGTGGTACTGACTGCGTTATTGAAACTCTCCAGTATCTAGCATCAACTCTCTAGTAGAAGTAGGCAACGCTGGCGATCATTTTTTTGTTTTTCTTATGTGTACTCAAAAAAACTGCTTAGAGCTGCCAAAATGGCCCATATATGTTGGCCTATATGAATGGTTCTGCATCTGAACCTTTGCTTCTCAGTGATTTTGAGGCCTGCCACTGTATTAAGATGTGTCATGGCTTTTTAGCTTTTTCTCATATGCCTTGCCTTTTGGGCATGACACCTTGGCTTGAGTAACRGGAAAGAAAACTGTTTAACCATGGAGGGATTTTGTCATCGCCAAAAACAACCCCTTTTCTTGGCAGTATGGTCAGTACGTGTGGAAAGTGTCTTGGTATCCTTTGCGTTTCCTAAGGTGGAGGTGCCCTGTGGAGTCACCAGCCCTGGCTGAACCTCCCATGCGAGGAGGAGACGTGGGTGATTCAGAGGGGAGCTGCCCAGAGCCCAGCAGCGTGACTGGGGCTGTATTAGATTAGTCAGCGATCAAAAACACACCCACTCTTAGCACACGTCCCCCGTAGGTCCCGGGGGCCTGGCCAGTGTCGTGGCTTTTTGTCACTCTGACCTTCTGCCTGGCCCTTCTCTGGAAGGAAAGTGCTCAGCCCTGGGCTGGAAGCACGGCCAGTTTCCTGAAAACACCTTAACCGTCCACGCTCGCTCCATGTGAGAAGGAGGGAGGTTTCTACCAGCCAAACGTGTGCATGCGTTAAAAGGAAGGGAGCCCAGTTTTCAGGTAGCACTGATGAGTATTAGCTTGAGCTAGAGTGGGAAAGAAAAATTGCCCTTCTTAGGAAGTGCAATGAAAGTTGTGGTAGTGCTGGAGGAGCTGGTGAGGGAGAGAGGGTCTCCCCTTTTGTCTCTGGGTGAGAGGCAGTAGCCTAAAGCTGTGTAGAGGGGCAGTTCAAGAYGACAGCAAGTAGGAAACGAATTTCTGAAACTGTCTGGCTCTTTACAAAACTGACTGCTCATATGTCCCAGAAGACATGCTTGAAAAAAATGGATGAAAGGTCTGGAGAAGGTCTTCTCCTTACTCAGTGGGGACTTGCACAAAAAGGGGAAAGTAGGAGGGCATTTTTTGTTGAATAACTCTATCCTATTTCATAAGTTTTCTAGGAATTCCTGTAGTCAGTCTTGTGGAGAAAAAGACTGCTAATTCACTTCCTCCTCCTCTAAAAGTGTTTGAGAACAGTTTTTGCTATGTGAAGCTGATATCTGACCCYGATGTTGTGTGAGAACAAAGCAGGGACATATCCATTTCCCACCCTGGACAACTTTGTAGTAAGGACCAGTCAGTATCCAGGGAATAAAACTGGAGAATCCAAGAGATTAAATACTTTCTTACATACACAAGACTAGTTTAAAAACAGGTCAGCCCTTTCCTGGTATCTTGCAGAAGTGGAGGAGGTTTCTGGCAATCTATTTGGCTGTTGAATTAACCAATGCAATTGGCGGCAATACGTTATCAGCAGGTGYAGACGGGAGCAATTCTGCACCTTGATGTGGGAGCAATTGCCATTTATGTGCTCAGATTTCCAAAGAGAACCTAAGTGGTCCCTGTTAAAACAGGAGGTTGCYCAGGATAAGCTCAGAACCATCTTTTTTTTAAGTGTCTGAATTATTCTAGGCTCTCTGCTATCATGACCTGACACTCCTCATTACGTACTCTCATTACGTGCATTTCTTTGATACCTTAGGACACAAATAAGTTCTATTTTATCATTTCCCAAACTAGATGCAATTTTGTAGACTGTGGACGATAGATATTTGCAAAATACACAGGTGTCTTAGTTATTTGCAAGTCAGCTATAAAAAGGATTCATTTGCATCCTAATAATAGGTATTTTAAATATAATAAGAAAATTATTCAGTCTTCCTGAAGCAAGCTCCCATCTGAAATAATAGCTGGGAGTAGTCCTTGTGAGCTATCTGAATGAGTATTTGTCTTGCAGGTAAAGAGGGATCTGTATCACTGAGTGTAGTAAGAGAAAGAACTGCTGCCTTTCCAGTTCACCACAGTGCTAAAACCTGTTGGCCTCACTGGAACCGAGACCTTGACCGAGTCCTTGATCAGCTGGACCGAGAAGGAACTTGGCCCATGTCTGCTCAAAGTGGTTTTTGTTTTAGAAGTGTTTTCTAATGTCACTGGCAAGAGAGCAGTTCAGAGACAAGTGTGTGTATAGACTGTGCAATATTTAGTTTGGAAAGCAAGCTCTGCAAGCCCAACCTGAGCTGTGAATTACTTGCATAACGTGCTTGTGCCACTGAACTCGAGAGTCCTTCTCAAAGTGTTTGACGTTATTCTTTTAACTTGGTTGAAATTTTCTTTATCTTAGATCTTTGATATCCATGGGAGCATCTGTGGGAGCAGTAACCAAACAGACCCTGTTCCCTCCTCTCATGCCTGCAGGACGACCTTTCCGTGTGTCAAATGCCTCCCGAAGCAGCCGGAAAGGGATTGTGGCCAGCAGCCTGCAAGAGCTGATCAGCAAGGTAGAGAAAGTTCCCTCTCTCCTCACAGCTAMCTGGTCAGTCCTGTATCCCGGGAAGGTGGCCCATAGGCGACTTCTGAAAATCACCCCTGGGGAGGCGTGAGGGAATGTGGCTCATGAGCAAGTCTCAATACTTCATGACAGGGAAAAAGGTTCATGGTGATGTGCCACCTTTTATATGCTATAATCTGTTTTATTACAGACCTTAGATGCCTTCCTTATATCTGCTGGAATRATTACACTGGTTTTGGAGGAAGATGGCACAGTTGTGGAAACAGAGGAGTTCTTTCAGTCCCTGGATGATAACACACACTTTATGATCCTGGAAAAAGGACAGAAATGGACACAGGTGAGTGCTCACTTGGAGACAGGGGAAGAGAGGGAGCAAACTTGCCCTAAAGAAGGGAACTGTTGCAGATTGATGCTAAACCTTCCTGGATAATGGATCAAGTTGAGGTGCGTTGTGGTGGTTTTTGGTTTTTTTTTTCCCCTGCCCCTTACTTGAACATAGAACTCTTGACAAGGAGCTGCCATGAACTGAACAAAAAGTTGCAACTGAAAAACAAATTTATGGGGAAAATTGCAGTTTTGGAAAATCTAAATAACCTTGTTCTTGAGCATGTGTCTAACATAATAGGAATGAGGACTTTCTGTTAAGCTAAAAACACAATCTCCTTAAAAGTTATGTTATAGAACTGAGAAAAGACCAAACTAAATAGTGCAAAATAAGTTTTGCTTTGTTGTGGATCAAGCGTAGTAGTTTAGTGACAACTAGAGAAATGTCTGTAATCAATCTTGCAAGTGGTTAAAAGGTGTCATAAAAATACAATGACAGCCTASGTGCTTTAGGATATTTTAAGAACTACTTAGTTTGACTTTAACTTTCTCATTTGGTATCTTTAGTTTCTTCTTTGGAGGCTTGTGTGATAGTAGCACGACTGTAYGTTAATACAAACCAAATTCTGAAGTGCCTCACTGTGAAACAATTGTTCAAAAGCTGTTATCAAATTAAAAAGAAAGAGTTAGGGGTGTGACTCTGCCCAGCTCCTTCCCCCTTGCCCTATGCCCTGTCTGGCATGGTGCAGGATTAGCTTAAGTGCTGCCCTCGCCGAGTGTCCTGAGTGACAGTGGAAGAACATCACAATTCCACCATCATTCACCTGGAGAGCAGGAAAGCTCTGTCACGCTACATCAAACATCCCGAGGGTTCACAGAGTATCCTACAGGAGTGTTCAAATGCATGTGCATGATCCAAACCTCTTTTGCAGGGAGGACAGCTGTTGGAGCTCAGCTCAGAGGCTGTCAAAGTAAAATAAATGGCCCTTAAACTACTGGCTAATGACATAGGACAGTGTTCAACTCAGCAGTATTTGCCTTGGCGCTGGCTGAGCACTGGGGTAACAAGTATGAAAAGCCCCAGTCTTACACAACTTTATTGCTTCATCTAATATGCAGAAGCAGATCGTTAGCTGCCAAGCTATTAATTTTTAATAAGAAGTGRTGTGTAAAGTAACTCATGTATCCACTAGATGTCTCCCTAAAGATGCTTGCTTACTGGCTTATTTTTTTCCTTTCCTTCAAATAAATGATCTAGTTCTGAAAGGGCACAAGGGCTGCTTGCATTCAGACTTGCTGGGCAGAYGAGGCAGGAGTTAGGATGGAAAATCCTGCCATGTTCCTTCTCTGCTTTTTCATAGGCATGTTCCTCCTTTGCTTTTTCAAAGACAACTTTGACAGATGTTGTCTTTGCAGCCATTGATAGGGTTGCTAGTTGGTATTGTGTTGCTCCCTAAAAGGAAGAGCCTAGTGTCTCATTTTCCATTGGAATAGAATAGCATCCACTGGGATTTCTTGCAGTCTCAATGTAGCCTGAAAAGGTCACCATGTTGAAGTAAAGACATACTTGAGAGGTGTTATGTCACTTCAGAACTTAAACTCTAAAAGAGCCCAGAAACTGGATCTATTCGGGACAGTTTCAGATGCCTGATCAGGACTTGGACAAAATTATACAACCTACAGATTTGCTTTATTCTAACTGCTAATGCTTTTAATTCAAACTTGGAATTGATTGAGAACTAGCCCGAAAACTGAGTTGCTCCTAAAACCTGTGGTATTGACAATTGTCTTGCCTTGTTCTGCTGGCTTATTATTTGTGTCTTTTTAATTAGGCAAGAAGTGCACTCACACCTGTGAGGCAAAAGAAGAAAATGGGAGTAGCTAACATCACATTTGATCTGTACAAGCTGAACCCCAAGGATTTTATTGGCTGCTTAAATGTGAAGGCCACTTTCTATGAGATCTACTCTGTGTCGTATGATATCAAATGTATGGGAGCAAAAAGCATCCTGCGGTAAGTGCCCACCTCCAGTGCTGACAAGGCATGGGTTTTAATGACAAAACCGTGTGCTGGCTTACCAGTTCTGTGACAGCAGGTGTGTTTGTGAACTTAGTATTTTTTATTAATTCTTACAAATTGGTCAACATGCTGGAGCTTCTGTTGAAAGGTGGATAACTATCTTATAAAAGGTGGTGGTTTTTTTTTTTTTTTTTTTTTTTTTTTTTTTTTAGTACAACTAGATGTAGTTCTTGATAGTGGAATCTGAAGGTTTTGTCTTTGTTTATGAGCTTCGTCTCCTAACACTCAAGGTACAGGTTTTTTTTTTCCTGTTTTAGAGAATTACCTAAGCTTTTAACTTTTTGAAAAATACAGGAGGCTGCAGAATGAGTATCATATTCTTTAGATTGGTACCACAATAGGACAAAATGAGATGGGAATGTTGTTAAGCAAACTGTTAAGCAAGCTGACAGAGCCTAGGAAAAGCCACTGGTTCCTCCCAGGACTGAGCTCAGGTGGGTCGTGAGTTTGGCAGAACTGGCTGTTGGGAACTGTTACCTCACACAGAAGATAAATCTCCATGTGTCCCGTCCATTGTTTCCAAGTCTTTGTGCCTTGTCAAGAGCAGCTGTATGTGCCTGTGAAGAAATAGCTCCTTCGCAAAGGTACCATACTTCTGCGCTGGCAAATGTTTAAGTTAGTCCTGCTCTGCCAGGCCTTTCACGATCTACCCCGTACAAAGCAGTCAGGTCTACGTGCCTCCAAGTGGGGTTTACACTTCATCAGAGCAACATGCAGTTTGAAGAGTTCAGGTAGTCCCTAGCCTCAGGATGCAAGCCTTAACTATCAAATCCTAATCTTCACTATCTCATATCTGGCTGACCTCTCCACTGTACTTAGATAGTCCTTTACTTTTTCAGGCTGAAGCTGGTGTGTCTGTAAATGAGACTTTGTATCTTTGATTTGTGTACAGTAGTTACACTGTTCTGTGCAGTACTGGCTTCATTAGAGCTTCTTCAAAGCAAAGGGCTGACACCCTTGGACAGCTGCACTCCTCCGGTTCCTGTGTTTGTTAGATCCCTTGAGCCAGAACAAACTTTGATTTCTGGCTATCTGTTGTGATTATCAGCACTGGAACTTGCAGTGTTTGAGGAGGAATTTAAGTGACAGCTCTGCCTGCCTRCACCATGCAGCTGGTGAGCAAGAAGCGGTGCCAGGAAGCAGCTGAAGAAGCTGCTGAGTTCTTCTAGAAGCTCAGCGATTCCACAAAGAGTGGGCTGTAAGGGAGATGCCAGCACAAGGGTGGGAAAATAGCCCCTGGGCCAAGAACAGTGAGAAGAGAGGCACTAACCTTAGACACTCTCAGGYTTAACCACGAGACCATCTGTCCTGACTTGCTGCTTGGATTGGAGTCTGTCTGTGTTAGTCCTTCTGAAAATGGGTGCCAAATTATTACCTCTGATGCCCTATCCGTGAGCCCTCCCTCGGGAGTGTGAAGGGAAACTGCTTCAAAACACTGCAGGTCACTGGAGGGAGGCGCCCACTGCCTTCCAGTCTGATCAGAGCATTTTCCCCAATGGTTTCTCCCTCCAACTGCACAATCAAATGTTCAGTTCAACAAATAACTTCCTCAGTGGTTTGTGTGACAGCTGCTCTCGTGTGCGAGTGGCCTCGTGCAGCTGCTCTAAGGCCTGGAAGCAGGTGCAGCTTTCCTTGCCCTGGAGAGCTCGCTGCCCTGTGGAGGGGCATGAGGAAATGGCATCGCGGTGGGAAGCAGGGGTAAGGTACAGCAGCTTGAAAGGCTTCCCAGGCTTCCCCTGTCCAGGGGCAGTGTGGTAAATGCTTAGGAAATGCTGTGTTTTGACTGCAAGCATTCTTTAATTATGGTGGAAAAAAATGAATTTGTAAGCAGAGAATTTTGTGTTCTCTGCTAGAACTCAAAGGACAAGTGAATAGCACCAGTAGGTTCACAAGTGCCTGGCTTCTTGGATGGAAYTGAGAAAGGCTTCCCCCTTTTTTGCAGAAGGGGAAGACTGCTCTGGTTTCTGAATCTTCAGAAACTGTTCCCTTTCCAGTGTTGGAATTGTTCCAGTCACAAGTATAACTAAGTTGAAGGACCACTGAAATATAATGTCCGTATCCTTGATATTCTGTGGTTATTTGCAGTCTATATGCTCCTGATTTTGATTTATGGAGCTGTATTGATTCCCACACCCTGTTGGTACCATTTTACTGCTTTGAAGCATTTGCTGGGAACTGAGAATTCCTATGGCTTGCTCCTTGGGCGATGTTAATGTGCCTGTGGCACATGTGCCTGTAGGGACACACGGGATGTCCTCTCAGTGACTGGCCTAAAGGTGAGAACCAAAATGTGTTCATTCTGCATGAATGCTGCTCAGCTCCCAGGCACAGGTAAATATTCAGTGGTCCTGTGGTAGCTCAAGTGATGGTTCTGCAGAAGCCTGTGGAAGTCTAGCAGGATGACAGACCACTTTAAATGCATTTTCTGGTTCTGCCTAGGCCTGCTGCTTGCCAACAAGTGCAGTCAGTGGGCACAGAGGTAACTGCTGTAAAGAAGATGTTAATATGACCAGCTCTCCAGAAGTGAGGAAGAACAAGAATTCTTAGATGTATCTACCAAACTCATCGTAGAGTGGTGTCGGGGGGAGGAAGGATATGACAATGTTGCTGTGCTGATGAAAACTTTCCTAAACAAGTGGCTTTCCTTCTAGGAAGGTGCTCCAGCTAATATCCCACGCAGCACAAATAGTTGGACAGTTCCTTGTGTGCACCGGCACGTACGTGCTGCAGCTGATGGACGAGTACGATGACGGCCGCGCRTGCACGAGAGCAAAGCGGGAGTAGGGAGCACAGCTGCGCGTCTCGTGCTGGATCCTCCTGCTTCAGGATGTTCTTCTGCCCAGTTGTGATTGTCATGATGCTCAAGCCCTCAAGTAGGGGCTGTCCACTGAGGTGAACTAACCTTTTCTTTCTTTGTTCTTCCTCCTCCTGTGGGAAAGCTTGTAGGCCTTAGCCATAAAATGTTTGGTGGTCRTGTCCTCTTAATGGAAAAAGGATGGGGACCTCGTGTTTGAGAATGAGGCAAATGAAGAGAGGCTGTCTTTGCTGCAGCAACTTGCGATGGCAATTCAGGATACTTGGAAGCAGGCAGGCTTTGCATCCTATTTTTTTTTCCTTGTACTGTTCAAAACATGGTTTGTGTTCATAGCTGTCTACTTGTCTTCTGAACAGAGTGGACTCTAAAAGGTTTGTTTAGACTTTTTTAATAGTCTCTGACATCCCAGCTGATACTGGCGTTCAGCTGTGCCTGAGGTCCAAAAAGGTGGAGACTCTTTATTTACAACAAACTGAATTCTGCTTCAGTGGCTCTCTGACTGATCACATGAAGTCTAGTGCAGCTGCTAAGCAGAAGCTATAAACTTAGCCTTACTTTTCTTAAAGCAAGCAAAAACATTTCATGTAACTCCTTACACTTTTCTTCAAATCCACAGAAAGTTCTGGTTGGTGTAGTCCTGGTAGCTGAAGAATATGTTAAATCCCTAAAGCACTGAAAAAAAARGCCTTAGTTTCAAGAATATGGCTTACAGGAAGCCTCCTGAGCCTCCCTTCAGAGCTAAACCTTCAGTTTTGTAGCTTCTACTGCCCCAAGATTTGACACCACATCACAGGCTTTACTTAAGGTAAATGTAGTGTGGGTCTGTAGAGACTCCTGAGCTCAGTGCCCCTATATTCAGGGGAGAGCAAGGGGACTAAACTTGTATAACATATGTGTGCTCTTAGACCAGATATTTGCAGTTCTGTAGTCTAGCAAGGTGAGCTGTGTTAAAGGGCAAAGTTTTAAATCTTTAGGTATAATTGTCCAGAATATTTTCTGCAGTTTACTGAGCGGCTAAAATGACTTATTTTCAGCAAGTGTCTCCCTAATAGTGTGAACAAACAGTAGTAGGCATCTTGTGTCAAAATGCAGACCCCTGATGTTGAAAGAAGGGGAGGAAAAAGGTATCATTGAAAGGATTTTTTTGAGGTAGCTTATGACCATTTTAGATGCMTGCTTGGATATATTCTTGCTCAATAGCAGGAGAGTTGCAGATGCTACCAGGAAGAGAAACTCAGTGACGGGGGAAAGAAAGCAGTAGGAGCAAAAAGGAAAGGATGCCCAAATGCCTGCGGCACCTGTATGGAGACAAGAACTGTTTCACCATCAGCTGCCCTGGTTAGCCCTCCTCTGGGGCTGGAAAGGAGAAGAAAACCCAGTGCCCTAAAAGAGTGACAGGGGAACAGAAAGGCCAAGAATTGTGGTTTGTGGTATCCATTCTGATCTATCAGCTGGATGTGTTGGCTTTAGATATCACTAATACCCACTTTATCGACAACCTTCACCTTCCTATGCCTATTTGTGCCTTCCCTTTAAGGATGTGACTTAGCTGAGGCTGCATCTCTCCAATGACTCTTTGTTGGAATGAGAAGCAGCCTAAAGGCCACCCTTAAAGGGACTGATGGACAAGTTTGCCAGATCTGTCTCTTTGGTGATGGTATTAGGAATGAGTGGACAGCTAAGAAAGAAGCCATGTTTTCTGTTTATTTTCCATCCATATGAAAGTTTTGCTTTTCTTCTAGAGGGGTTGAGGGGTGCAAGGGGACAGCTACTGCTTAATATTTTCTGCCAGGGAAGAAGGCCTGCAACTTGTAGCACTGTTGAGTGGCCTTTAAAAGAAAACACTAAAACAGCACAGTGGCCCCTGGGAAGGAGGTTGTGCTCAAGTGAAAGCTTTGCACTGTGCGCGTTGTTCTCTTCCCTCCGCCACCACACTCTGAAATAGTGATTGTTGGCCAAGGTCGCACTATCTGTACCAAGGAATAGCATTTAGCTGAGGCAGTCCAAGGGCCTCAGCATTAACTCTTTCAGGGCCATTTATTCTATTCAAACAAGCCTGTGTTTGTAAGGTAAACTCTGCATAAAGCTTCTAGGAATTTGTGTGTGTGTGTGGAAAATGAACACCAAAATTAAAAAAAAAAAAAAAAAAAAGGCATTGTCCTTCCGAAAACACAAATAAGGCAAAAGAATGCACTGATTTCAGATGTCTTATTACTTAATTAAGCTCCAAAAACAAAATGC